GTTGTATCAAAATATGGTTTTTGTGGTACATTGTTCTTTTTTACATCCATAATATGATTCATATATACATATGGATTACGTTTCTCATAGTACGCACTCATCACCTTTTGTATGGGATGTCTGATCAAACTAATATAAATTGGTTTGGGTAAATCATACTCGGTCATATTTATCCAATTTCTATGTTCGGAATATGAAAAAAAATCCCTCCAATTCGAAAAATTCCTCTAGAAAATCATCTTGTTCTTGACGATCGAAATCGTAATCTGCATCTGGTGGATGATCATCAGTATGAGCTGCGAAATCGTTGCGTTTGGATAGATCATCTAATAGCTTTACTAGGGTGGTACTACCGGTTCGTGGAACTTGTGTAAAGAGTATTACATCACGTTCTGCTTTATGGGTAACATTTAGATCCATGGATCTCAGTTGTTCGTACTAACGGAAAGTGATATACAATTCATTAAAAATAAACTTTAAATGTTATTTGAAATACTAAAGTTCCCAGCAAAGCTTTTTGTGGCATTGCAAGCTTGCAGGCATTCAAACGTTTTAGCTCCAAATCAGAAATAGCTATTAACAAAGCTTTTTTTGGAAAGTTTTATTTATAGAGATTGTTTTGTTATGTGAAGAGCCAGAGAGTAAATCTTTAAATTATTTTTAGAAGAAGAAGAATTTTCAGTTTAAAAATGTGCACCGATGCGTCTCGGTTTCGAATTCCAGCGGAGGAGAAAATTTCTATTTCATATATAATAAACTAAAGGGGCGTTGTTTTTAGGCAACGATAGATGGCAGACCCATCATGGAGAACAAGCCACATCAGATCAATCATCTACTTAGCTGCATTGTGGACTACAAACCGGTGAATCCCGTGTTCCAAATTCTTTAAAAGTGGTTTTCGAATAATTATAAAAAGAGGGTAACATAACCCTCCAAATGAAATACATCCGAAGCTCCCTTGATTTTTTAATAACAAACCTCGGCATCAACATATGAGGATAGTGCACTATATGAATGGCAGCAGAAAGCGTCATCCAGAGGAAAACGGCCAATAATAAGCAAGAACTCTAACCGCTGCTCTCTATAGGCATGACAGGACATAGCGCCACCCTATGTCCTATGCTCCCAAGAGGGGTCACAGGAGAAAAAATGAAGAAAACATTGTGACGTTTACAGAGAACAATTTAATAGGTACAAAAGTAAAACACAAGAAGACTAAGTGTGAGTCTTGGGTCAATCGAAGGATAAACGAAGCGGTCAGATTTCGCAGAGTAATATCTAAAGATCCGAAATCTATAGCAAAGCGATGTGACGTGGACAAACTCCGCCAGAGAAACTCTTGATCTCTCTTGTATGGTCCATATCGATGAAGTGTGGTGTACACATCGGCATAAGGTTCGAACCAAGGAAGAGGAGAAGCTGATAGAGTACACTATAAGCGTGGACAAACTCCGCCAGATAAACTCTTGATCTCTCTTGTATGGTCCATATCGACGAAGTGTGGTGTGTACATCGGCATACGGTTCGAACCAAGGAAGAGAAGAAACTGATAGAGAACACTATAAGCTACCCAATGGACTTGTCTGCTTATATTGTACATACCAAGTCTATGGAAAGGGGTAACGTTCTACTAAAGACTTTAGAAAGGTTACTAGACTCCAAAATTAGGAATACTATCAACCCCAATAAAATTAGCAAATCTCAGCATACATACATCAAAGACAAATCAATGGATACTGCCTTACATGAGGTGGTCGGACATATCGAGTTGAATATGGACACCTCCGGTTACACAACAGTTTGAAACTGAAAGCTATCCATTCTGCTCTCGATAATTCAGGTATCACCACCTTCCTGACGGTTGGATTGATAGAAGGCTGGAAAGCAGAATTATCAACTTGTCTATTGGAGAGAATTTCGTGAGGAAATCTGTCAACAGAGGCAGACCACAGGGAGGAGAACTATCATCTCTACTATGGCTTCTGGTAATAAATGAGATACTGTTGAAATTCGATCACCTTAGGATAAATGTTGTAGCTTATACCGATGATGTAGTCTTGTTAGTCTGTGGGAAATTTCTGCCGATTATTTCTGACATCATGCAGGGTTCCTTAAAACACTGTTGAATTGGGCACAACCCCATGGCCTTGGCGTAAACCTCACAGAAACAGAAATTAAAGTCTTCACAAGGAAGCGTAAATATTTGGGTACAGTCCTTGACACATGCTAACGTGGAAAAGGAATGTCGAGGAACGCACTAAGTAATAGCACTCTACTTCTGCAAGAACTCTATAGGTAAGTGTCAGGCAAGGGGTCAACAGGCATACACTACTGGCTAATTGAGTACCGTACAGCGATTGGTGTCGATCCTCAATAGCGGAGCGCTAAGAAGCACACCACAGGCAGCCTTGAATGCAATCTTGAATCTCCAGCCATTGGATTTTCTGCTTAACTTCAAGGCAGCAAAATGTGCCCTGAGACTCCGGAAAACGGATGCCTTGAAATCGCTGAATTTGGACCACAATGCCAATTTGTGACTTTTTAGATAGAAGTACTCACATCAGTGACTATACTCCCTCTCATAACAACTATAACGATATCAGAGTAGAGTTTCCTAGTAGGGAATCCTGGGCAAGTGACTCGTTACCTCTGGCCGGTCTGTCGATATTTACAGTCGAAGATCTTTGCAGCGTTATCCAGGCAGAAATCCTGGCAATCACGAAAGCGGCTGAGATTGGTAAAACACTTAATGTGTTTTCGGTAGTGACCGGTGGCTATATACTGGCATACTTCTAATGTAAAAAAATTATCAATATAGAACTATGTTTTAACATAGGCCCTATATAAAGATCACACCCAATTTTCAGTATTTTAAAGGCTTCTGCCGAATCTCCCCACCCAAATGTATGTAATTAGTCATCTCAGGATCTAGAAGGCTGAGTAACAGTTTTAACTGTAGCAATATTTAGAGATATTTTGAAAAAAATTGAGTTTAATTAGGTTTCTTAAAAAAAGATAATCTGAAAGACTGAAAATACAAAACCTTGGGCGCCACATAATATTACAATATTAAGTAATTTTACATATTCAGTAGTGTTGGCGGGTTATTTGGGATACCATTTGTATTTTGTTTTTGCAAAATAGTCAGGCTTAATCCCAGTTTGTTGTTTTTATAAAAAACAACTATTTATTAGTGGGGAATGTATGGCATTGTCCGCCGAGGGGTAAGGCAGGGAAGACTATAGTTTCGGATCTCGCCACTGATCCTCATCAGTTCCCTTAGTTTTTTGTTGGGATATTCTCCCCAGAAGCTATTAATAGCTTCTTTACAAAAAACCTTTCAAACCCAAATGTCTCTTGTGACAATTCGAAGTTCTTACGTTACCAGCGATACGACCCCAATGAGAAGTTCGTTTCGTTGGCGCCTGACTTCGTGGTCAACAAGGCATTTACAGACAACTACAATACATTTCCCACTGCTATGTGTCGTCACTTTGTGACGAATGCACATAACATTGTTGTTGGTATTGCTAGTTAAAGCAATAAACCAAACAGTATGACCGTGCCTCGTCTACAACTTCAGTAGTGTTGGCGTATCGCTGGTAACGTAAGAACTTCGAATTGTCACAAGAGACATTTGGGTTTGAAAGGTTTTTTGTAAAGAAGCTATTAATAGCTTCTGGGGAGAATATCCCAACAAAAAACTAAGGGAACTGATGAGGATCAGTGGCGAGATCCGAAACTATAGTCTTCCCTGCCTTACCCCTCGGCGGACAATGCCATACATTCCCCACTAATAAATAGTTGTTTTTTATAAAAACAACAAACTGGGATTAAGCCTGACTATTTTGCAAAAACAAAATACAAATGGTATCCCAAATAACCCGCCAACACTACTGAAGTTGTAGACGAGGCACGGTCATACTGTTTGGTTTATTGCTTTAACTAGCAATACCAACAACAACGTTATGTGCATTCGTCACAAAGTGACGACACATAGCAGTGGGAAATGTATTGTAGTTGTCTGTAAATGCCTTGTTGACCACGAAGTCAGGCGCCAACGAAACGAACTTCTCATTGGGGTCGTATCGCTGGTAACGTAAGAATTTCGAATTGTCACAAGAGACATTTGGGTTTGAAAGGTTTTTTGTAAAGAAGCTATTAATAGCTTCTGGGGAGAATATCCCAACAAAAAACTAAGGGAACTGATGAGGATCAGTGGCGAGATCCGAAACTATAGTCTTCCCTGCCTTACCCCTCGGCGGACAATGCCATACATTCCCCACTAATAAATAGTTGTTTTTTATAAAAACAACAAACTGGGATTAAGCCTGACTATTTTGCAAAAACAAAATACAAATGGTATCCCAAATAACCCGCCAACACTACTGAAGTTGTAGACGAGGCACGGTCATACTGTTTGGTTTATTGCTTTAACTAGCAATACCAACAACAACGTTATGTGCATTCGTCACAAAGTGACGACACATAGCAGTGGGAAATGTATTGTAGTTGTCTGTAAATGCCTTGTTGACCACGAAGTCAGGCGCCAACGAAACGAACTTCTCATTGGGGTCGTATCGCTGGTAACGTAAGAATTTCGAATTGTCACAAGAGACATTTGGGTTTGAAAGGTTTTTTGTAAAGAAGCTATTAATAGCTTCTGGGGAGAATATCCCAACAAAAAACTAAGGGAACTGATGAGGATCAGTGGCGAGATCCGAAACTATAGTCTTCCCTGCCTTACCCCTCGGCGGACAATGCCATACATTCCCCACTAATAAATAGTTGTTTTTTATAAAAACAACAAACTGGGATTAAGCCTGACTATTTTGCAAAAACAAAATTTTACATATTTTCTATTAAAGGTTGTAAATAATCGGATCGTAACGTTATTTTGCGAATAAACCTCTTCTCAATTAAATATTCCCCATTCTTCACAATATCACAATTAGTTGGCTAATATTTTCTTTTATTTTATTAAATATTGTATAATTATTTTAAATATTATCTAAAGCAAAATACTGTTTATACAGACGTTGTTTACAAAAATAATAAAATTCATATTCGCGAGTGAAATTTTTGCGTACAAGATTCTTAACCTCTTCACTGACTTTGGGTTTCCAGTTATTGCCATTGCGCTTGACATTCGCCAAATTATCTGAAAACAAAATTTTTTTCATTGCAATTAAATAAAACATCTAATTCTGCGGAAGACTTTACCATAATATAATTTTGTGGCACCACGGAAATATTTCGGTATATAGTTTTCCAAAACTTTCAGGGTGACATTAACATCTTCCCAGGAGCCAACCACAGCGAAATCATGTTCAACAATTTCTTTGGCTCTTTGCAGAGCGCCATATGAATTAAAAGGTCTAGAAAAACAAACAATTTTTGTTCTCAATAAATACAAAAAGTGTGAATAAAATAATATGCAACCTACTCGCAAACCGGATCATGGCCACAAAAGAATAACGTTTGACGGATATGTAGAGCCTTTGTCTGCGTAAAACTTGCTCCCTGCTCATAAACACACTCGGGATCGGAATTCAATACACAATCATGATAATCTTTTTTATAGAATTTCGGTGGGAAAAATTTATTCGTAACACGATAATTTTGTACTGCACTCCATGGTGTACGACGATAATAGAACCAACTTATTACACGTTCCACGGGATCACGTACCAAATTTATATAGATCGGTTGAGAGGTATCGTATTTACGAAAATTTATATAATTTACATGCATACTGTGGGAGTGACCTGGTCCCATTTCATAGAGGTCATCGACTAATTCGGCTTGTGAGACTTCGTTTAGGTGATAGTGGATAGGTTGGGAAAATGGCGCCCGACTAACACTGAAATTATTCACCTCACCCAGTTGACGTATTAATTCGATTAGTTGTTCACTACCCACTTTGGGTACACGATTGAAGAGCAGGAAATCGAATTGTGAGAAACGTGTATTGTTTAGCAGTTTCGGGTGAAGACGTTCCAGCTGTTTTTGGGGGCATAAAGAAAACAGGAGAAGAAGGGTGAGGTAACGAATTTTGTTACAAACTTCAATGGGTATTCTACTAAAGCTCTTCCCAACTACGATTATGTGGATATAAAGCAATGCCTTCTACTGCAAAGCGTGTATATGATATTGTATGCGAAAAATGTGTGTTGCTGTGGAAAGAGGGTTCCGAAAATTTTGGAAATACTATTAGTTGGGAGAGGATTGGAGTGTCTTACGGAAAATACTACTTTTGGTTTTCGAAATATCCAATACGAATGCTTTTAGGATGGGTGAGGAAATAAATACCCAAATTTGTGGAACTTGATATTAGTTGGGAGGGGCTGTGAGTATGGAGGAGTTTAAATAGATCTGAGCGTCGAAATTTGGGAAGTTCTTTCATATTATCGCTTTATTTATATTATTGCTTTGTAAAGTCAATAAACATTCGTTTCTGTCTCATAAAAGTGCAGTAGATTTAAATAAAATTTAAAAAAGATTTAATTCTTTACGCCGAAAACAATATGTTTTTTTCCATTTGGGCGCCGATTGTATGCCAATAAATCGGTAGGATAATACTGATGTTATATATTTATTCTCGTTTTATTCACAGGTTTTGATTTAATCGCGCTGTAGTTGAGATAATTCTTTGGGATAATTATCGTTGGGTCGACAGATTTAAAATAAAAACCTTTGTTTGAGAGCATTCTTAAATACTCGATAGCTATGGCAACGGCAATATTACATTAAGTCAATGTCGATATTTTGTATTACATTTATTCAATTGTGATCACTTGTCGTCTTTTATCGCAAGAATTTCAATTTAAGGTATTTCAATTTCATATGTTGAGAAAAATGTTGGGCGCCATTCTCCAAACACCGGTAATATGTGGGCTCCAGAAAATAATTTGAAATAAGAAAAGTTTATAGGAACAAAAAAGGGACGAAGTTAAAAAAAAGGAGCACAATTATGCAAAATAGCAGACCTAATTTCATTGGGCGCCAGTTGTGACCATACTGAATGTAATATTTTGCCCCCATTAATTTTAGTAGAGATCAGGAAAAAATGGTTGAATATTTAAAAAAAAAAAATCGCTCAATTGGGCGCCAGTTGAAATGATTGTGACATTATTCCGACACCAGATATTTTTGCATCTCAAAAATACTGAAATATTGGGCGCCAACATTATCTAAATTGTATGCAGACATCTACATAGTATAAATTTGTTCTCCGATATTGATTTGTTTGGGCGCCAGTTATAAAAATGTTCCCTTTGGATGTTAGCATAAGATGATTCAAAATGTGAACTCGAAAAATTAATGCACAAATTCCGTCAATATTGCAGACTCTTTTCGAATAAACTTCATAGATAATCGTGAGCTTATATTATTATAACAAACACTTTGTTCTTTTTTTTTCAGTTACTCCTGTTGGGAGCATTAGGCTTCTATAAAGCATTGACATCTTACTCAGTTAGTCTCGTTAATTATTCAATTGCTAAATATATGATTGGTCTGCTGTAGTCCTATGTGAGTGAAATGCCAACTATCGTTGTCTAGAATCAACACCTCCAAGGATTTTGTGGAATGGTTGTGGTCCTTGCTAATTTAGTTACTATATGTTTTTTCTCATATTAAGTAAATTTTTTGAGTACCACAGAATTGTATGAAATTTAATAGAAGAGATGAACTAAATTAACTAGGTGGACGAAAGTTCCGATCGTTCCTTTGGCTAAATAGTCAATTTGAACTAGTTTGTTCAAGGACAGTACTGTACGGTTAAGTACTGTACAATAACATAATGTTGGCATAATTTGTTCCATATTAATAAGACAAATTCATTGTAAAGAAAATAAAAATTAAATGTTGGGCACCAATATAAATATTCTATCTTAATAATGTTGTATTAAAAATTATTTCAATTTATTTAAAAAAAATTCGAATTACATTGCATTTTATTTTTTCTTCTTCTAAGACTTATTAAATTCGTTACACAAAAGTAGAAAAAAACGTATACTATTATATCTTATGACTTTAAGTATATAAATTCATTACTCCTCTTCTTCCTCATTGTCGTATTCGTCATCGGGTATTAGCATATAATCGTCATTATCCAAAGATTTACCATCACTGATGGCATTATATTGCAAATACAAACGCTGCTTGCAGAATTCATAGAATTCAATTTCATGAGTCAAATTTTTACTCAAAATCATGCGGGTCTCTTCGCTAATGGGACGTGTGACATTATTCCTATTGACACGAGAGAGACGGTCTTTGCCCTCTGCAAGAAAATAAATTGAAGAAACGAACATATTTAACTTTTACATTTTTGGGAAAAGTGTCTAAACTCTCACCATAATAAAGAGTTTTGGCATTCCTAAAGAATCGCGGTATATAATGTTCCAAAACCGACAAAGTAATATTGGTATCTTCCCAGGTACCCACCACAGCATAATCTTCTTCGACAGTACGTTTGGCTTTTTGCATGGCAGCTTTGGAGTTGAAGGGCCTAAAAACATTTTTATTTTTTTGATATTTAAATATTCATTCCAATTTTTTTTGATTTTTCAATTTTGTTCACACTCCAAAACTTACATGCACAATTTCTTATTTTGCCCGCAGAAGAACAATGTTTGGCGACGATGATCTCCAGCCGGGTTTTTAACCTGCATTTGATTGAATTGACAATGGATATTGCCCGTCTTGACACATGTATCCAAATCCATTTCCATAAATTCCTTGGGTGGCATTTTTGGCGCCCTGTCGCCCAATTTGGCTTTCAGATCGCGATAATACCATTCGGCACGTACATAATAATGCCATGAGCGGATGCGTTCAATGGGATCTCTAATCAAATTGATGTAAATCGGCCGAGGCATATGATGTTGCGTAAAATTGATATAGGCAATGTGCTGGCTATAGATGCGTGGTCGTGTTAGATTATAGATTTCATGGATCAATTCCTTTTGCTTGGGTGGTGGCAGCAAAATGGTCTCATGCGGCTTACCCACATCACGGGAGTGTACAAAATGATTGACCTTACCCAAGCGTTGCATTAATTCCATTAACGATTGGCTTCCAACTTTGGGAACACGATTGAAAAAGACGACATCGACTTCGGCTTTTTTGGTATTATTTAAGGCATCAGCGGAATATAACTCATCATCGTCGTATTCATATTCATCATCATCAACATCTTCTTTACGGCCATGTTTGCCATGAACATGATCGTCGTCATCATCTTCCTCATCCTCGTCATCGTACTCTTCTTCATCGCCATCATCATCATGATGTTTGTTGTGATGTTTCTTACCATGATGATGATCATCATCATGGTGAGCCTTTCCACCTTTATGGCCATGCTTGCCATGTTTGGCATTACCATTCGTTTTTAATGGCAATTGCAATTCCAAACGTTTACTTTTGTTATGCTGACGATGATGATTGCGATGATTGTGCGGTCGATTATTTGTGACTTCGATTATTTGTGGATTATCAAGTTCATGTTCATCTAATTGACGATCAATATGACGAGCTTGTCGCTGTTGAAAAACGAGTGGGGGATATAGTTTAAAATCAAAAATGTCGGGTTTTCTCTTGTTTGTCTCTCACAAAGGACCTTTCACCAAATGAGCATGTTGAACATATACGTGCATTGTTTTACTCTCTATCTCTCACTATTACTCCCTTTTCCAAAACACATACAGATGAAGGATGATGAACACAGAACTATATTGAATTGCTTTTTGGCATTTAATAATTAGTACAGAAATAAACACGAAATAACCACAAGACGAAGCGAAAAAGAAGAAGAGTAGTAGAGAAAAATAAATACTCTCAAATAAATGAGAGCTTTACAAAAAATAGGCTAAGCGGTTTTAAATATACGTATTTTAATCGTTTAACAGAAATCAGCTAATGTTACATTTTATAATCAGATATTCATTTAATCATGAATATGTTATTTTGTCCCAAAAATATATATGCCATGTAACAAAAAGTTACAGAGTACCATGCTAACAGCTCAAAACATAATCGAAAGCGGAGAAGTCAAGTTGGTTCTTCTGGCGAATTTAATTGTGTCAAATTCTATCAAATTTAACGGGTTTTTGGGCTTCGTCATCCTTCAGCAGAAAATTGTAGTTCCGAAACGAACTAGTTCATTGAAACTATTCCCATAACTGAATGATAGGAACTACGTCCAGTTCTTTAGTACCTTTTTCAAGTCTCGTTCATCCTTCAGCAGAAATGAGTAGTTCCGAAACGAACTAGTTCATTCAAACTATTCCCATAACTGAATGATAGGAACTACGTCCAGTTCTTTAGTTCCTTTTTCAAGTCTCGTTCCTTTCACTGAACTCTTTTCTTTTTGTGAACTCGTTCCGTTATTCGCATATTCTTATGTTCAAAATATATGAGCATATGCTCGTAAATATTTTACTAAATAGAAATTAATTTCATTCAACTTGTTGTTTTTATTTTTAGTTTAAAAAAGTAACTAGTTCCTGGTTAAAACAGGAACGAGAAAGATCGATCCGCTCCGTGAACTAGATTCTCCAGCTCATGAGCCGTCAAAATTATAAAGAATAAAAATAAAATTACCAACTTTGCGAACTCAAAAGTAAATGCACGTCAATATTGGGGACAATTTTTGAATAAACTTCTTAGATAATTGTCAGCTTATAATATATTTATAACACTTTGTTCTTATTTCTCCAGTTACTCCTTTTGAGAGCACTAGGCTTCCACAAAGCATCGACATTTTACTCAATTAGTCCTCGTTACTCATTCCATTGTTAAGTAAATGATTGTTCTATTGTAGCCTGTTCTATGTGAGAGGCATGCCACCTATCGTTGCCTGGAGCAATGCCTCCTTGAATTTCGCCATGGTTTGTGTCCTTGCATATTTAGTGTTGTTCTATTCTTCTGGGTGGCGAAATCGCAGTCTACAACAACGTCTCCTTGAATTTTGTGGAGAGCTTGTAGTCTTCGCTTATTTAGTGTTGTTATATTCCTCTGGGTGGCGCTATCTCCTGCCATTCCTATTTTGTGTTATCTTAATGTGTTGATTTTTATGCCGAGGTTGGTTATTAGAACACCCGTTGAAATAGTGAGATAATATATGTCGCGTGTTCACCCCCGCGAACTATAAAAAAATGGATTGAGGCGTCGGGTTATTTGCACATCCTCTAAAAACACACATTTTATAAAAAATCTATGCAAAAGAAAACCAAATTCCCCCAATGTTGACGACCCCGCACACGTATAAAGGACTACGAACTACTCTTGGAATGTGCGCACAGACCTAAGACATATTTTAAGAGCCTCCATTATATTGTAGGAGCTTGTTGTTTTTACAGAATATTATAAGCAGATCATAACGTTTTTATGGAAAGTTATTAACTGAGCTATTAGCTTTATAGCAAACAATAACAGCTTATAATTTTCCTGACCTATATCGGCTGATAAAAAATGTATTTATAAAAAATATACAAGCTTTTAATTCTGTATGCAAATGATCAGGTGATTATATTTTCTTTCTGTATTTCAGCATTTTTTCATAAAAGATAAATGTTTATATTAACAATTGTTGTATATTAACTAACATGTGATAAGAATAGTATTAATAAAAATAATCATATCTAAAACATTATAATTATAAATCAATTGTTTATCTTCATCTTAATTTGATTTGGGTTGTTCCGGAATGAACTAGTTCAATGGAACCATTTCGAAAAGGAACGATCGGTACTAGGTTCCATTCATTCGTTTATAAAGTTCCTCCAGTCGTTCCTATTGATTCAATCGTTCACCTAGGTCGTTCCATTGATTGACCGAATTAAATTACGTTTACCGATGAACAATTCAACAATTACCGATGACCAATTCAAAAAATTTAAAATGTTAAAAAAAATAAAATGAGTATTAAATGACAACACATGTTTATGTGCAGCATTTTCACTTGATGGAGAAGAATTCCTATTAGAATTGTGAACATATTGACCAGCTGCGTGGAATGGAAATAATTCATATGTGTACGCAAAAAAATGGCCACAGCAATTATGGAAGCAATGGAATGTGTATGTATGCGTACACAAATATCAGCTGATTGGCAACACTGTATAATTTTAATACTAGTCTAGTATATAAATATCAGCTGATTGGCAACACTAAATAATTTCAATACCGGCCTATTTAGCTGCGATTAAGTACCTCGATTTAAAAACGAGACGAGACGATTTAGAAGGCATAGTCTAAAACCAAATGTACATTAGAACTTTTTTTCGGGTTATAGTACGTTTACATTGTACTGGATTACTTAAATCCAGTTGATATAAATTGACAGTTCAATTACATATATGTCAAATAAATCCTCATATAGGAGATTAACCCGACAAAAAGTGCTAAAGTAAATGTCGTTTTAGCCTACCTCATGAGGATTTATTTGACATACGTGCATTGGAATTGACAATCTAAACCCCCTGGGTTACCGAAATCCAATACAAGGTATATATAAACGCGGTTCAGTAGATTATTGGATTCCTGTACAAATTGATGTTGGCAATGTCATTAAATATTAAAATTAATTCAAAATCACTTTTTAGCTTTCGCGTTTTAAGGTAATCAGGTGCTTTAAATTATCATTTCCTTGATTTTGGTTCAAATCAACTAAATATTTTCAATACTATGTGTAAAATTATGATGCAACAATAAGGTGATGTATCGAAACAAAGACATTTGTTTTTAATCCGTCAATCTGTCAAATTTCATCTAATTATATTTCTCATGGTTGGCAACAATGCACATCGAATTCAAGTAGAAACTAGGCACTTTGACATTTAATCGAATAATCAGCTGGGCTAAATGGGCTATTTATTGTACTAAATATAAACCCCACAATATTGAGTTATTTGTTTCATTTTTAGTTTCGAAATAAAAATAAGTTTTTTCTCGTTTAAAAATTTATTTCTCATTAAAAAAAAAGATAAATTATGGCTAAATATTTTATGCTAAACAAATGACAATCACTTATTAAAAATATCCAATGACAATTGGTTTTGATGTTTCAAATAAATCGCGATATACTGTTTATACAGACGTTGTTTACAAAAATGATAGAATTCAATTTCATGTGTTAGATTACGGCTCAAAACCTGGCGAGCTTCTTCGGTAACCGAGGGACGGAAAGAATTACGATTTGTTTTGCGTAAATTGGCAGATTCTGTAAGACAAAAACAATAATTTATTTTACAAAAATATACCCATATTACAAAAATATTCCCAACACATACTATAATATTCATCAGCAGCACCGGTAAAGAATCGAGGTATATAATGTTCTAAAACGGTCAGTGTTACATTGGTATCCTCCCAGGAACCCACAACAGCATATTTCGTTTCAACATGATGTTTGGCCCTTTGCATGGCTTGATAATTATCGAAGGGCCTTCAAGATAAAATAGAAAAAAATATTCCATTCAGTATCAGCTCCACATTTCCAACAATGATTTTCTTCTTTCTACTCACATGCACAATTGAGCATCCTGGCCACAAAAGAACAATGTTTGACGACGATGATCACCCAAACCGCGACGTTCATTGGGCTCATAAACACACTCCGGGTCGCGTTTCAAAACACATTCCGAAAAATCTTTTTTCAACCATTGAACACTGGGCAGCTGGTATTGTTTGGGAAATAGTTTCGTACGTTCAGCAATATACCAGGGAGCACGAATGTAATAGAACCATGAAATAATTCGTTCAATTGGATTGCGCACCATATTTATGTATATCGGTTCGGGATAATCCAATTCTTCGAAATCAATATAGGCAACATGTTTAGAATACGATGCTGGTCTTTCCACATTTAAGATTTCCTCAACTAAATTCTCTTCAAAACTGGGTGTTAACATTATCGTCTCCGTACTGCTAGCCTTGTCACGCGTTGCCGTGAAACCGTTACGTTTTGCCAATTGTTTTAACAGTTCCATCATTGTTTGACTACCCACTTTGGGTACACGATTAAAGAATATCAAATCGATTTCGGCATTTTTGGTATTATTTAATTTATCCGGTGTTAGGTCATGTAACTGTTCGCAAAAAAATTGGTAGGGGTTTTTTGGGTTAGCATTTTTGTTTATCAGGTTGGAGAGGAAGGAAATAACCAAATTGTTGTTTTGTGTTAGAAATGGATAATTTTGCAGGAATTTTGGTGAGGAAGGGTACTAGGTGTTGTGGTGGGAATTTCGACGAAATGGACGTTTAGAAGAAATATGTGCGTTGCTACTAAATAATATCAAACTTTTTTTCCACTTGAACACCCAAGACAAAAATATCTCAGATCCAAATAATCATATTACCCCCAATATGGCGTAAACATCTTCTCGAGGTCAGTTAATCGCCTTTATAGATTATTTTTTGTGACGAATTTGTATTTTACGACATATCATTTGGAATGTTAAAAAAATATGCAAACCGAATTGAACCACGTATATCTGGCATGCTTACCCATATACGCTACCGTAACAGAAGGTCGATTGGTAAACATATTTTCTCTTTCTTTCTCTTTACGTTAGTCGTTTTTAATGGTGAATTCTCAGTTACGCTCGCACACACTTGCCCTCAACTTAATTTTGCCCAACACTGACGTATATGCACATCAAGTGGATAGAGGCAAGTGACTCAATTCCATACATATAACTGTGACTTTGATGTAGTCCTTATTCTAAGATCGCAGTTCTATAACCAAATCGACACATTTGTCAGTTTCAGCAGCAACAATTGTGAATTGTCGATTTTCAAATATAGAGTGAAGAAGACAGGGTCGATTTTATATATTATGGATATGGATATTTCGACAAAAGGTAATCGAATGGCGTCAAACTCAAAACAATTTTATTTAAATTCTGGCAAATGGAAAAATAATCGTGTTAAAAAATTGCAAAAGAAAAAAATCAAAAGACCAGTGCAGAAAGTTCTTTATGGTAAAAGGCGGGGCTCGAAAGGCCCAATGCAAATACTGCAATACGGCCAATGTACCAAACATTTATAAAAAGTTTGTATAGTTATCCCTAGACAATAATCAAAACGTGAGGTAAAAAATATCATCATTTGCATGTTCCAAAAAGGTAATCTAATAAGGTGCGAATCATGATCCAATAATATGGTCGTCCGATAAGGCCAGATGATTTCACTCGAGCTGTCAAAATGCTTTCGATTGTGTGAAAACGTAAACAAAGAATTCGACAGCGTGGGGGATTTTAATCAAAAATTGTCGATAACGATTGCTTCTAACTCGACTTGTTTATTGGAATAGAGTAGTTCAGTTCATGATAGGGATACGTAGTCGAGAGTAAAAGACGACTTTCAGACTTTCCCATTTTTGCCCCTGAACAAAAAGTAGACTTTTAGATTTTTGCCCCTGACTAAAAAGTTGACTTTTCGATTTTGTCAAACCTGCTCAAAATTGATTTCGACTTTTACCCACTAATGCAAAATCGATTAAAAATTGTATTTCTATGTGAATTGTTGTCATCAGACGTAATAAAGTTCTGGAATATGTATTTTTTGGGAAATACATGTTTTTGACAATAATAAATAAATTAATGAAGAAAATCGAAAATCGATCTTGAAAAGTCGATTAATCGATTAGTGGAAAGTCGATTTACTTATCCCTAGTTCATGAACGAACTAATTCAAAAGAATGAGCACATGAACTAGGTTTGTACGACCTTTTTTGTTCATTAAAAGAGCGAACGAGAATAAAATTTAATTTTAGTCCAATTCTGAGGGTTTTATGGACCCAGTTCGAATTGTTCTGAAAATTGAATTATTTCGAATTGTTCTGAAACAAAATTGTAAACTAGTTTTTTTTTTTTTTTTTGACAGAACAAAATCTTCTATGGACGCAAACTATCAAATGAAGAATTCGGAAATCGATAAACTATTAAAAGAACTACCATACAAAAACGACAGCCTAATAAAAGTGCTTAATTGCGAACAATTGAACTACTGAACCAAAAGACCGACCTAGTTCACTTAAAAGAACTAAACTAAAAATGAAGATGCTGCGGAGTCTGCAAACAGATATTGAGGTACTGAATTAGACCCTTATAAAAAATAGAAATAGACCTACATTTGTTAAAAGTATTCGAGAGGAAGTATTAGACAAGAGAATATGTTCGGAGAAACGAGGTTCAAGAATAAATGAATTCTCCTCTGACCAAAAATATGTCAGGATTATTTTTTCGACGCCGACAAATCTAGCAATTATCACGATAAAAGCTATAGTCTAAACGTGTCTTATGTAAGGAGGAAGGTATAAGAGTAAAATATTAATCTTTCCCTTTCAAAAATGTGATCTTAGTTTTTCAAGACTTAAATATATGTCGGATTTAAGCATAATGCAATCCCTGCATACGTTTAATTTCGGGGTAAAACATATGGTTTATGAAACAAGCCTAGATAATTTGTATACTTCTATAGCACATAGAGTTGGACAATATAGTTCATAAAGCGGATCGATCTTTCTCGTTCCTTTTTTAAAAAGGAACTAGTTCCTTAACGTTATCCATTTCCCACAGATAATCACACAGTTCCGATTGTTCCATCCATACTAGATGGATGAGAAAAGTAAACAAATTGAACAAAAATTAAAAATAATCTTGATTTTGATTAATTTATATTTTGTAACATGTTCAGAAGCTACTGAATTCCAAATATTAGAAAAATGAATTATAGGAACTAAATAACAGGATCTAGTTCCTATTGTTCCTTTATAGAAATAGTTCCAATGAACTAGTTCGTTGCGGAACTACCAAATTCTAGTGGCATAGCGTATAGATATTTGGAAAAATCAAATACGAACACAAATTTTCAGGGGAAATATTTTAAAATTATGGAATCTGAGACGAATATATTCAGGTGTTCTAAGCGGAATAAAGCGTATTAGTACACGACCTATGGTGCTATCGAAGAACTACATTACAAGATTTAAATTGTTAACCTTCGGAAAAAGTGCAATATTTTTGAAAAATTCCAGAAAAGAAACCCCCAAATTCAGTTGATTTCGAAAGGAGACTATTTAAAACCCAGTAACGAATTAGAAATATTTTTAAACAATACATCAAAAAAAAAAAAAAAATATTAGTTGAATTCACAAAAAGTTCTCTAAAATCTTAAAAAATACAGTTTTTATTTAAATTAACAACATTTCACAATTCTTACTTACCTCGATTAGAAATAATACACAATTTATGAACAATTTCATATTTTTTGTGAACAACATACAAATAAGCTTTGTGGCTCAAAAAAGCTTTACACGAAGTAATACATAAAAAGCTTAAAATATTGACACAAACTAATACAATGAGAGAACATTTAGTGCTTTATCTCTTATAAATTTAAAATGTGTGCTTCACAATGTCCAATGAAAGCTGTTTCGTTTTTTCCTAATTTTTTCATAACAAGTTTCAACTGCTATTGAGAAAAATGTTTCTATTTTTCAGTATTTTATTGCATAATTTTTTAATAAAAATGATTTCAAATTTTGTACGCCCTTTTTTGTTGTATAGCTGGGGAAGAAGGAATTGGAGGGATTGAATATGGAGTTTTTGGAAGATAAAGTGTAGTTTTGTATGAATTTGTTTTTTATAATATTTAGGAAATTTCATGTCAAAGATTTGTCTTGGGATTCTCACATTTTGTTTCTAGGATTTTTTGTTGAGGACCTATAACTCTCCTTTCTAATTCGAATTTTTTGGATTTTCTTTTAGGTGGTTAATTTTGTAAAAGTACCTAACAAAAAAATTGGATAGGATAGGACAATAGGATAGGGATATGATAGTTACAGGATAGGTTAAGTAGTTTTTGCAAAAGAGATAGGGATAGAAAGATAGATGCAGGTAAGCTTTGCAGCAAAATAATAATGAGAGAGATGCTTTAAGCTATTTCTTATCATACTAATATTCTAAATAATATTAATGGGAATGTGGTTCTAGAAAAATAGATAGAGCCAAAAGAGGGAGAGAGGTAGGGAGAAAGTAACATTCAAGCTTCTCCAATAGAGTTATGTATATGGTTGTCTACATGTTGTTTATGTATATGTAAAAAAGGATAGGTTTAGAGGATCAATGTGGTGTTATGAGGTAGAGAGGGATAGGGCGATATTTTCCAAAAATTTTTTAATTTAAAAAACTACAAAAGAATTTTATGTTTTTTTTTCTAGGTTATGTTTTCTCAAGTACTCATGCAATTGAAAACTAATCATGATTACCAATCAAATGCATATCAATCACCAGTTAAATGAATATCTAATATACGTTTGTTCTTTGTCGATGACGATGATGGTAATGGCGGAAATAGAACAAAGAATACTTTTCGGCAATGCAACATTTCCAAAACTCGCTGGCATTTATCTATCATTTTCATATCCGCTGTGTGGGGCAAAACATGGCAAAATGCGTTTTATACATTTAACACATTAACGACAGCCGGTGTCAGGATATTTGCAAAGCTTAGGTGCGGATAGTTAAAATGATAGATAGCCAGCCACATGAAAAGATAGGTACGTAGATAGATAGATGGAGCATTTTTAATATTTTTTTTAGAATTGCGATGTTCGATGAATGCTCTTGCCAGAAAAAAAGGATGCAGGATGCATATGAATGATTGGTGTTTTTCCGGTCCTTTTTGCATTTGGAAATGGCAAATGCTGCTAATGATTTATGCCAATACCGACTACTACGCATTTTAATGAATTTGAGTTGGCAAAAAATAATAAATTTGGAACATGGACTTACCTGGCCTGTGCTTTTCAAATATTGATAAGTGCCATGGAGGGTGTTGATATCTTCGGGTTCTAAAAAAAGAAGGAGAATTAAAAGTTAATATAAATTAAATAAAAATATGAAATATATACAGTTTAGCTAAACAACTTGTTTTTTTTTTCAAAAAAGTGATATGAGTAACAAAAAAGTTTGAGAATTGATACTATATAGGAGTGTCGCAGTTCAAAGAAGTCAATCTACGGTCTATCACATTAAAACGCGTTAAAAATAGCAATTCTGTGGCTAGTAAACCCAAGCCAGGACAACCAAAAAACGGCTTTCTTCTGATGAACGTATTTTTTGATGTAATATCAAATAAAAAACGGAAACTAAGTGCATTAAAATTAACTAAACTAGTGTCTGAAAGCCTAAAGATAAACGTTAGCCCGAAACTATTATAAATATGCTTCGTAAAAACAATTTTCACGGCAGAGTTGAGCGAAAAACCCCATTTGTGAACAACATAAATCGCATAAAGTGTCAATAATTCGTTGCCGGACAAAGAAAATCCTTACTTTTTCGGATGTGCAAATGTACGTTTGCAGAAAACCGAATGAAGATCTTAGATCTTGCAATCCTCGCCCTACAGTAAAACACGGCATAGGAAGTGTAATGGTTTGGGGGCTACATGTCAGCAGTGGGTAATGACCAGTTGGTTTTTATTGATGGCATCATGGATCTTACTTATTTAGCTGTAAGATTTCCAGGCGCATCGGTCTAGTGCGCAGCTCATCCAATTTGAAAGAACATGTTCGCAGGTGTTGTCTTCCACTTAGTCTTTCCATCGAATTGGTGGCTTTCCCCTTCTACGTGAACCATCATTTGGCTCGCTTTTATATGTCTTTTGAGCTGGAGCATCCTCATCCATTCTCACAAAATGACCTAGCCAACGTAGTCGATGCAGCTCGATACGTCAATGTCCGAGAATAGATGGTACAACTTATTGTTCATACGACGGCGATATTCACCGTCGACGCAGACTGGCCCATAAATCTTTCGGAAAAATTTTCTCTCAAACACCCAATAGAGCTGCCTCATATGCTGGCGCAAGTAGCCATGCTTCAGATCTATAAAGCAGCACGGGTAGTATCAGCGTCTTATATTGCTTATTTGGACCATAGTAGAATCTGTTGGCCAATACTATTCTTCTTCAATTTTCAAAACAGATGTTATTTGTTTCATTTATTTATTTGAAAGCCCATGTTCCGAGATTTTGATGTTCCACTTGATCTTTCCATGGTATTCGTGACTTTCCCCTTCTACGTGAACCGTTAGCTTTTATATGCCTTTTGAGCTGGAGCATGCTCACCCATTCACACAACATGACCTAGCCAACGAAGTTGCTTCAGCTCGATTCGTCTGACCATGTCGATGTCCGAGAATAGATGAGTTGTACCATGGTTCATTCGACGGCGATATTCACCGTCGACACAGATCGGCCCATAGATCTTCCGGAAAATTTTTCTCTCAAACACACAAAGAGCTGCCTCATCTGCTTGGGCAAGTAACCATGTTTCAGATCCATACAACAGTACGGATAATATCAGGGTATTGTAGAGTGTGAGTTTGTTCCGGCGAGAGGTGGCCTTGTTCTTAAATTGCTTACTTAGACTGACTTTCCAAACCTCTCCGAAATTTCTTCGAATTTCAAAAGTGATGTCATTAGTTTAATTTATGGCGGTACCAAGGTATATAAAATCTTTGACTACCTCGAAGCTGTAGTTGGTCCGAGTCTATTGGACGTGTTTCGCGTTGATACCATCAGCTTGTCACCACTATGTCGATATCATCGGTGTAGGCGAGTAACATGTGTTGATTTGGCGTACAGAGTGCCATTTCTGTCACTGTCACCTTGTCTGAATCTTGGTTCGGCATTAAAGGGCTCCGAGAGGTCCTTTCCGACTTTAACTGCTGACATTGTGTCAGTTAAAGTTTTCCGGCATAATGGATCAGTATAAGTATATATCCATTCTGAACGACGTGCTAACGCGAAAAAATTTGAGAATTTGTGATCTTATCTGCAATTAGTGGTCTTATAGTACGTTTACAATTAACCGGATTTTGTTAACCCAGTGGGTTTCAATTGTCAATTCCTTTGCATATATGTAAAATAAATCCTCATAAAGTAGGTTAACCCGGTAAAAAGTTCTAATGTTAACGCCGTATTATCTGGAAAATAAATTAAACACTCGAAATTGAACGATTCACTGGAAAGAGCGTCAGAACTATTTCCGTACAATAAACAATTTCAAAATCCAATAAGGAACTAGTCTAAAATCGCGTTTAGACGAAGCCTTCTATGTAGACTCGATTTCTAAATGGAGGTACTAAAACCTACCTGTTTACACTAGAATTAAAATGTTATAAAGTCAGTCAGCTGATATTTGTTTACGTATACATACACTTTTCCAATTCCACGTATATTCAAGAAATATTTTACGGAAAAACTCAGTTTTCAAAATTACACCCATGTAAGTCATCATGACTATTCTCCAGTTACCCTTCATAAAACACCAAAAATTTTTCCCATAAACATAATAATATTCATAAGCTTCCACATTTTGTTGCTGTTTTTCTGTATTTCCTTCCTCTTCGTGAAGAGACCTAATTTACAGTCAGCAGTAAAACACTGTTGGCCTGCCAATCTGCTTATTAAGCAAACAAATTGTGTATGGGGAATATTTAAAAATATATATTACTTATCTTCTTTTATTCAGCAATATTTAAACACAAAGTTGCATGTCAGAAAATCTATGCAATTTAAATTAAAATTGAAAATGATGGACAAAAATAAAATACTGATAAATGGCAAATCATTTTTTTAAAAGTAATCATAAAAACTTATTGTTCTTGCTTTAGCCTGGCTGAATTATATTTTATTAGGAAAATCCGATAAACAATACATATTTAATTATGTTTTATAAGGCAAATCTTAAATTCAGCCGACCTGAATTAACTTTTACGTAGAAAATCGCAATTCAGCTGAATTCAATTAATTTTTAAATGAAAACATCAATTCAGCTTTGCTGTATTAAATATTTGTTCACAATTTCCCAATTTAGCCAAAATTTTGATAAATATTAAATTGAGCTGTAGTCAATTATAGAACTGCCGACAAATATTTAATTCAGCTGGTCTGAATTAGCGATTTGTCAACAAATATATAGTTTAACTATATATTATAGTTAAAATATATAGTTTAAAATAAATTTTAATTCAGCTTGGCTAAATTAGAGAATAACCAACAACTATTTAATTAAACCGCACGGCATTAGACTTTTATCAACTACTATTCAATTCAGCTGCGTTGATTTATAAAATTAACAAGACATTTTAACTATGCTGAATTAGTACATAAGCCAATAAATAATAACTGACCTACATTATAGAATTAACTACAAAAATAGTAAATTCCGCTTAACTTAACTACATAATATCAAATTTATATTAAATTTATCTATGCTGAACAAAAAACTACCTTCAAATCTTCAATTAAGCCGCGCTGAATAGAACAGTTATGACTTGTAATTCGATTAAGTAGTTTTTATTTATTAAATCACCGAATAAGATTCAATTCAGCTTAACAAAAATTCAATTTTGCTGATTTGTTATATAAATATTAAATTTATCGGTGCTAACTGCAAAATAGTCTACAGTATTCTTTTCGGCTAAACTGAATTACAAAAAAGTCGACTAATAATCAATTCAGCTAAGCTGAATTACAAAAAACCGAGTAACAGTCATTTCAGCTTAGCTATGCTGAATTAAGAACTTGCATAAAATATTAATTCAGCTTTGTGGAGTGTGGAGTGATTTGTTAGCAAATATTAAATTTAGCTGTGCTACATTGTAGAACTGACCCTAAATATTAATTAATTAATTAATCGACTAATCATGAATTCAGCTTAGCTGAATTACAAAATAATTGAGTAACAGTAATTTTAGCTTAGCTGAATTGTATAGTAACTAACTTATAAACAAAAAGATATGCTGAATTAAACAATTGCCTACAAATATTAAATCCAGCTTTGCTGAGTTACTGATTTATTAACAAATATTGAATTCAGCTGAGCTACATTATAAAACTAATAGTAAATATTCTTTTCGGCTTAGCTGGATTAGTTGACTAATCATCAATTCAGCTAAGCTGAATTACAAAATAATTAAATAGCAGTCTTTTCAGCTAAGCTGAATTTTATAGTTATTTAGATAAAAGCAAGATATTTATGCTGAATTATAAACCTAACCGTAAAAATTATTTTCGGCTTAGCTGAATTACAAAATAGTCGACTAATCATCAATTCAACTATGATGAAATGACTGTTACTTAATTATTTTGTAATTCAGATTAGCTGAATTCGTTATTGGTAGATTATTTTGTAATTCAGCTTTGCTGAGTTAGTGATTTTTAAAAAAATTTTAATTTAGCAGTGCTACATTATAAAATTAGCCATAAATATTATTTTCGTTTTAGCTGAATTACAAAATATTCGACTAATCACCAATTCAGCTAAGATGAATTACAAAATAATTCAGCAGCAGTCATTTTAGCTTAGCTGAATTGTTTAGTTAGTAATTTATAAACGAAATGCGGAATTAAAGAATTGCCTACATTTATTAATTCAGCTTTGCTGAGTAAGTGATTTGTTAACCAAAACGAAATTTAGCTGTGCTACTTTATAGAACTAACCCGTAAATATATTTTTTTGGCTTAGCTGGATTACAAAATAGTCTACAAATAGCGAATTCAGCTAAGCTGAATTACAAAATTGTTGACTTAAGGAATTGCATTAGAGGTGTATCAAAATATGTTTGATTCTGTAGTGCTGAGTTATAAAATTGCGATTTAAATATTCAATTCAGCTGCGTTGCATAAGAGAATTAAGAAATAATATTAAAAATATGTGTGCTAAATTCTAATTTTTTTAATAAAAATATCAATTCAGCTAAACTGTATTATGGAATAAATGAGTAATATACAATTCAGCTGTTCAAATTAGGATATTCCAACAAAATACTAAATTTTCACGTA